AACCAAGGGTACGAGTACACTGTCTCGTCTAAATGATACTGTGTTTTTAAAACCTCTTATTCAAAAGTCTCCAAGTAAGTTGACTCCCAAGCACGCTGGCTTCGTTCACACTGTACTTTTCTGACCACGAAGAAATCTCCTTTAATTGATTACAACTGTCCACCTCCTAAATTCCTACTTGGAGTGCAACTAGCTGGTCAACGGGGGGGCGATTGCTTGCCTTTTGACCTGCCAGTGCGCTCCTTATATACTCCAGGAACCCCTATCTACGTTTTACATGTGTTTTAATGCGGGATACTTCGGTCCGAATTACAAATATGAAATTTAATGAACGTGTGGTATATTTTGTAGTCTATCTCTGTGAACACTACAGATTTTGTAGTGTCGCGTCTTTCATTTTCAAACACATCAGTGTTTGATGCGTACATGGAGTTAGCCGACGTAGCTATTCTTAGCTTGGCATGATCTCGCGTGTTTCTTTCTATGGCCCGGTTTACCGGTTTGACAGATGACATCACAAAATGATTAATGTTTCCTGATGCATTGCTGCGCATGCGTACGCGTTTACCAATAGTCTTCGGCCTTCCGTCGCTTCCGAGTTTTTAATTAAAATGCCTTGTCTTGGCTCGTCTTTTCATTACGGAGGTCAGGAGACACTCCGAAGGTGTTTTCAAATGTCTTTCTTAATTGTCAGGGGGTTCTTATTATATTTCATATAATAGAATGTGTCTTTTTCTCATGTTTGTACTTGTGACATTCAGACACATCAGTCTTTGATGCGTACACGGGAACTGCCGTACATGACTTTCTGAATGGCCGTGAGCCACGCTAAGTCTTCGTACATTTACTACCTAGGTGTAGTTTAGTTTCAATGTTTCAGACATGCCGTTTAAGCGTCTATGTCGTCTTTTCTGTATTTCTTGTATAAGCATGAGTTTTCACAATAAATCCATTATGTGTTTCTAAACCCTTTGGTAGTAATGCAATTCTTCTCCCTGTGTTGGGTGTTTACTCTAGAACCTCTTCGTGCTCTATTTCATGGTAGGTGAATCTTAGATAGGATCCAAGTATAATGTCACGACGCGTACTGCTGCCAGTTCCAAAGCCTTGTCCTATTCAGATTCCACGCATTTGCATTTTTAGTCAACTGTGCCGGGTATGCGCATTGACTCTTTGTATCATTGCAATTGTATGTAGTGTCTTTATTAGAGATGACCTTTATCGGTAAAATCGTTAAAATTGAATTTTATACGGGTGAAATGGTTTCATCCGTATCAGGGTCATCAACCTTTCAAGTAGCAAGGGACTATGGAAGGGAGCAGTGGCATCCCTAAACCACTCCTGCTCTCCTACATCTATGTAAGTATAGCTACCCGTCCAAACCCTCATCTTGTTTGCATCTTGTAGCATCATGTAGACCATGAATCAATATTATTTACCGTGGTAACCACTTGTCGAGCGGGCGCGTCGCATCGCGCGACGATACATGTGCAACAAGGGATGTGCATGATGGAGTTCAACTCATCGCGCTCTCTTCTCATCATGACCTGGGGAGCCAAGATCAATTTAAATTTGAGCGCGACACACGTCGGCATCTAGGAATTTAACTCCGACATGGGGTTCCTCAAAATAACCCATGAACTGATGGAAGGGGGATTTCTACCAAATGCAGAAGAAACCCAGGGTTCCACGCAAAAAGGGGGTTTCTGGTTAGATTGATCCAGCATGGTTGTTAGGTAATTAGCACTCATACCTGAGATACAACACCGTCTTGACCCCCCCTGCACAACTACCTTCTGCTCTGTGCCTCATCAAAAACTCAATTCACAAGTCGTTCTCAGCCCATTGTCGAAGGGACCAGAACGTATCCCTGATGTGCGTAGAGCCAAGGGGATGGCATGACACTGACGAATGCATTGTCAGAAAACTAGTGCTTAGAAGACGACACGCCATGGACAAGTGGTCAAGGACAATGTCAATCAGACACCCAACTTATGTAAACGAGACGGAACCACGCGTGTTCCATTTAGACCCCAGTTGAATATGGAGCAGAACAGGTTCGTGGTGGAGATGGTGGTCGACAATGACGTTGATCACATTGTTGTTGATCAACATTTGTCATCATCTTGTGCAGCTTCACCAAAGCTTCACCTTGAAAATCCAGCATCTTACACTTGCTCTGTGGCCGCTACACGTTCAGGGTGTCATGGTGTAGGAATGGCAGAGCCAGCAGGCTTCATTTGTATAAGGTGCGTTTATTACGCCGTTCTCGTTCCCCACCAATTTGGACTAATTTCTGTAATCAGAGGTGAGTATCGTCCGATGTTGCCCTCACCGTTCTCCTTCCCCCACCATTCACCGAAATGCTGGCACTGTCCTTGACACAACAAACTGATACGCACTGCGCTGGTTTAAAATCGAAAGCTAATTGCATTTTTAGCAGTTCAAAAAACATAATGGGAAGCCGTCGCCACTTCAGCCATAGAGACTGGAATCTCCGTTATTGACAATTACACTTGGATGTCGCGTTGCATCCCTTTCCGTCGGGACGCCCTCCACCCAACTCGAGACTCAAGCTTTGCATCGCCCTTCAGAGTCCAACCCTTTTGAAGAAGGGCTTCGCCAATCTGATCTTGTCATTATGATATTTTTCTTGCATCGTGAGTCTCTATCCTCCTGCTTTGAACGTGTCATTTCTAAACCATTTTTAGAGGTACATTTAGAGGTACAAACCGACGAGACTGTCCTTTGTCATCATCGCAGGCCTCAACTTTTCCCTTCCGCTCTTTTTTTTATTATGCATATCGCATTCTATATGCAGCCGCCAAAGCTTTATACCCATACCACAGTCCTTGTGACTATAGTTCCTCTGAGCGGTACATCTTGCTTTGTCCTTAATCTACAGGATCGAGGTGACCTGACGTTTTGCAGAAGGTAAGGTATAGCCAATGCCCCCAAGCATTACACTTCGCTGCTACAAAAACGGCAGCTCAATTTTCCTCTCTGTCCACTCACCCACACGAGCTGACAGGAATTTCACAAGCGGGATATGTTTACGATGAGGTTTGTCTGTTCATAATCGATCAATTAAGGGAAGTAGAACACACCTCCATATGTTTGTCCTTGCCGGTTCAACTCCTCTAAGCTGTAAGTCCCCATTCTACCATACCCAGTTTTTCATTCTGAATACTGTGCCAAATATGAGCTGCTCAAATTATGAGCATTACTCTACCGCAGGCCAGGCTGTCATACAATCTCATATGTCTGACCTGCCTCTTCTGCTTGTACAGTTCTGGGACATTGTGCACTGCCTCCCCTGTGCCTGTTCTGTGATGACCATCGACAGAACATCCTCTGCACCGTAAATGCCATGGAAGGACAGGGGCTCAGGGATTGAAGACGCGAGGTGGGGGGATTATATGAACGCATCACTTCAGTCACCCATTTTTGGGTACCTATGAGGTTATCCAATTCTTTGAATTAGGGAACCTTAGTGGTACCCCATTCCAGAGTGGTATGACCCTCATACCAATTCCATCATACCATGGTATGGATGCCACATACCATTCCACCTCATACCATACCATACCATACCATACCATTCCATACCATACCATACCATACCATACCATTCCATACCATACCATACCATACCATACCATACCATCATTCCATAGCTGTCACAGGGTGTCTGGGGTCCTTTTTACAAAATATGAAAATTATTTCTCCAGGCTGTAATACTGATCCATTGGGCTCCATTTTTTGTGGACTGGTTCTTCAGATTTCTTCTGACATTTTAAGCTACAAGTGGAGGCTATAGGGTGAACTTGATCTTTTGAAAATTCACTTGAAAATTAGCTTGATTGGGCTTTATCCCAGGGTTTGGCCATTTTCACTGTGGATAATCCATCACAAGCCACTTAAAAGTGTATATCTTGCCAGGCCATTTATATTCATGACAAATAAATTAATGTTGTATCCATCACAATGGCATGGCCTCTGAAGGAAAACAAGAATTTTGCAAGACTTTATTTATTGCAAAGGCATGAACTTTAGCCAAATTACTACCCAAGGCAAGGATGCCTTCTTCAGATAGAATATGTTAAAAATTTGCCATTTATGAAAAAGTACGGGGTCATTCCATAGGAATGGGATCATCAAAAAACTTGGATTTGGAATCTCCTCATATCTGCCACTCAGCAGAGCTGGCATTGTGGGGAATTTTGATTTGAACATTTGAACACAAGCAGGCCAAGACTTCTAATTACAAGCTTCAAGGTATCATTATTAAATATAGCTATTCTAATTTAAATCAAAATTCTGTCTTTTATACAATTAATCAGGGATGGTGAAGAAGTCCATGACATTGACAGCAATATGAACAAATGCTATGGACATTCACCTATGAGGGAGCAACTTGGGAGATGCTCTTGGAACAGATTGCCAATTCCTTATCCCACATGTCTTCAGAATCATACAATAGAGATGGAATCATACCATGAGTATGGAACCATACCATACCATGGGCATGGAATCATACCATGGGGGTGGAATCATACCATACCATGGAAATGGAATCATACCATGGGGGTGGAATCATACCATACCATGGAAATGGAATCATACCATGGGGGTGGAATCATACCATACCATG